GAAGCAAGCACACAGCCCATGCTGGCTATGTGCCAGAGAGGCATGCTCTAGCACCCCCCAGCTTCTGGCTTGAGCCACTGCAGGCATATGGCTGCATTTCCTGATTCACAAGCGAATGTCAGTTCATTTGCTTATTGGTTCAATCTTTGCATCTCAGACTAACTGCAAAGACCGAATCAATTCAGCCTCAGGCTTTCTGACTGTCTGTACTTAGCCTTAGAGATCCTGTTTCCTAGCTGCCCAATGTAAAGAGCAGAAAACCACCAAAATCCTCCAGCCCTACCCTAATATACAGTGTATCATCACAACAGTATAACATATAATTTCTTTACAGTAATGCCAATTGCTAAAACAAATAGAAACCAGTTGCAAATACCTCAGGAGTTCAAAGCATAGGTTGACAAAGTCTGGCTGACAGTAGCATCAGGATTTCTACTACAAAATCTGTCGCACATCTCACCTTTATCTACTTTCCCTTTTTGCATGGATGTCCCCTTTCCTGCCCCAGTCCTATTGTTAAAGGATCTATGAATATCCCTTTGACAAGAAGTTTTTTGTGTTCTAAGAATCAGCAGTACAGTTCTATAAAGATAAGTACAACTTACCTCAAAATCAGTATATTTGCCCATTTCAAGTAAATGACACATAAGTAGTACATAACCTATTGTTACATTTTTTAAATATTATACAGCACTGATAATGGGGAGGAGATTCAGAGAAACACTACTGTTTTAAAGACACATGCTTACCAAAACTGAAAAATCTGTCTTTTCTGAAGGCCTAAATTTCTGTCCAGAAAAATACCCTAATAAAATACTTCAATGTGGAGAACTAGAAGAGTTCTTCTGAAGCCTCTGCCTCAAGGAATATTTCCACGACCAAACTGAACCCACTCCCAACAATTCATGCTCTGGCAACATTCAGGAAAAGATCAATGCCAAAAAGCCCCAAAAACCATCAGATTGGACACCTCACAGTCGACGAAACCCCACCCTCAACCACTACATTGACTCCTTCAGGGAAAGAATGAACAATGAAATAATCAGCAACACACACCACCATAATAACCTCTCTCTACCAGAAAAAAAGGCCATAGAATCTCTAAGATCTAACCACCAAATAGTAATAAAACCAGCAGATAAAGGAGGAGCCATAGTCATCCTAAACTGTGAATACTACATAAAGGAAGGCAACAAACAGCTCTCTGACACCACTTACAACAAAGAACTACAAGAAGAGCCTATTCCCCTTTTCCCACCAAGCCTATTCCCACCAAGGAACTCAACAATACCATCAAATCATTTCCAGCAAGACTACAAGAAAACTGCA